GTAAAAAAAGTCTCTTACGACTACAATTTTAATTACCTCGTCTCTTAAGCTGTTTTTGATTGTCATCGAAATGTCAAAGCAATTAATTTATGCGGAAGGACATTAAATTTAATTGTTTTTTAAAAAATTTTTAAAAAACCGCAATTATAACGACTAGAAAGTTTTTTTTAATTAGTGGTGTTTTTGTTATTGATTTAATAAAAAACATTTTTTAAACATGCGTAAATGTTGCTACATCGACTATCTTATAGCCTGACTCGCAACGGAGTGCTGCTACATCGACTGACAAATAGCCTGACTCGCAACGGAGTGCTGCTACATAGACTGACAAATAGCCTGACTCGCAACGGAGTGCTGCTACATCGACTGACAAATAGCCTGACTCGCAAGGGAATGCTGCTACATCGACTGACAAAAAGCCTGACTCGCAAGGGAGTGCTGCTACAACGACTGACAAATAGCCTGACTCGCAAGAGAGTGCTGCTACATCGACTGAGGGTTTGGTTTGGCCAGGCAGTCTATCAATTAAAAAAAAAAATTTAATTTTCAAAACTTTTTCTGGTCTGGTTTATTAACGCTCTCTTTAAAACTACAGTTTATGGGAAATTTTTTTTGATGCTACGCAAGAGACATGCAAGACTATATATATATATATATATATATATATATATATATATATATATATATATATATATATATGTATATATATATATAAATATATATATATATATATATATATATATATATTCATATATATATATACATATATACATATATATATATATATACATATATACATATATATATATAAACATATATACATATATATATATATATATATATATATATACATATACATATATATATATATATATATATATATATATATATATATATATATATATATATATATATATATATATATATATATATATATATATATATATATATCTTTAGTGTTGACATAGTGTATAAGAGTATATTCGTATACTCGTATTAGTCAGAAAAAGAGTATACTCGTATTAGTCAGAAAACATCAATTAATACAAATTCTCTTAATACAGTTAATAATTTATTATTAGAAATTTTCACTGGATTATGGTTACCAGCATCATCAGCTCGTAAAAATTATACAATAAATTTTTTTTTTTTTTGTAACGTTAGAAACAGTTTAAAATTAACTGACGTCAGCAGTTGAATGGCTTCATTCTTGCTTACGTAAAAATGTAAAAAATGGAGTCTAAAATTTAGTTTTCACAAACTGCCCGTTATCTAAATTAATTCTGCTATGTATAGGTGAACATAGGAACCTTTGTATTTCTAGAGCTTTGCACACTTTTCAATCAAATTTTTTTGTTTCAACTTTAATTGTTTTTACATTTTCCAACTTTATTTCTTGTGAGCAAAACTTATTATGGGTGGCTATTGCAGAATGATACTGTTTCCCCTCATTTAAACTTTTAAGATGTTGTTGAGTCCAAGTCCTAATTTAAAGTTTAGTTTTGCCTACTTATGTCTTTGAGCATTTGCATTCAATCAAATAAGTTCCGGGTTGACTATTTTGTGGTAATTTAGTTTTGTTTTTTGACGTCTGTAAAGTTTTTAAATCTGGATTTGA